TCACAATAAAGGGATGGAGGAAGATTTATCAAGCAAATGGAGAGCAAAAAAAAACAGGAGTTGCAATCCTAGTCTCTGATAAAATGGACTCTAAACCAACAAAGATCAAAAGAGACAAAGGGCATTACATAATGGTAAAATGATCAATGCACCAAGAAAAGGTGATGATCCTAAATATATATGCACCCAATACAGGAGCACTCAGATACATAAAGCAAGTTCTTAATGACTTACAAAGAGACTTAGACTCCCACACAATAATAGTGGGATACTTTAACACTCCAACTATCAATATTAGACAGATCAACGAGACAGAAAATTAACAAGGATATTCAGGACTTTAACTCAGATGTGGACCAAGTGAACCTAATAGACAGCTATAGAATTCTCCATCCCAAATCCACAGAACATACATTCTTCTCAGCACCACATTGCCCCTACTCTAAAATTGACCACATAATTAAAGTAAATTACTCCTCAGCAAATGCAAAATGGAAATCATAACAAACAGTCTCTCAGATCATAGTGCAATCAAATTAGAACTCAGGATTAAGAAATTCATTCAGAATTGCACAACTTCATGAAAACCGAACAACTAGCTCTTGAATTTTGAGTGGATGAATAATGAAATGAAGGCAGAAATAAAGATGTTCTTCAAAAACAATGAGAACAAAGATACAATAGAACAGAATCTCTGGGTCACATTTAAAGCAGTATCTAGAGGGAAATTTATAGCAATAAATGCCCACATGAGAAGTGAGGAAAGATCTAAAATTGACACCTTATCATCAAAATTGAAAGAGCTAGAGGAGCAAGATCGATATAACTCAAAAGCTAACAGAAGACAAGATATAACTAAGATCAGAGCAGAACTAAGGAGAGACAGACACAAATAAACCTTCAAACAATCAATAAATCCAGGAGCTATTTTTAAAAGATCAACAAAATAGACCACTGGCCAGATTAATAAAAAAGAAAAGAGAATAATCAAATAGATGCAACAAAAAATGATAAAGGGGATATCACCACCAATTCCACAGAAATACAAACTACCATCAGAGATTACTACAAACAACTTTATGCACAGAAGCCAGTAAACCAGAAAGAAATGGATAAATTCCGGGACACTTGCACCCTCCCAAGCCTAAATCAGGAAGAAGCTGAAGCCCTGAATAGACCAATAACAAGGGTTGAAGTTAAGGCAGCAATTAATAGCCTACCAACCAAAAAATGCCCAGGTCCAGATGGGTTCACAGCTGAATTCTACCAGATGTACAAAGAGGAGCTGGTACCACTCCTTCTGAAACTATTCCAAACAATCAAAAAAGAGGGAATCCTCCCGAAATCATGTTATGAGACCAATATCATCCTGGTACCAAAACCCAGCAGAGTCTCAACAGAAAAGAAAACTTTAGACCAGTGTCCATGATTAACATCAATGCAAAAATCTTCAATAAAATACTGGCAAACCGATTGCAACAGCACTTCAAAAAGCTTATCCATCACCAACAAGTACGCTTCAGCCTGGGGATGCAAGGCCGGTTGAACATACGCAAGTCTATAAACATAATCCACCACTTAAACAGAACCAAAGAGAGCACCCACATGATTATCTCACTAGATACAAAGAAGATCTTCAACAAAATTCAACAGCCTTTATGCTAAAAACTCTCAATAAACTAGGTATCAATGAATTGTATCTCAAAATAATAAAAGCTGTTTACGACAAACCCATAGCCAATGTCATAGAGAATGGGCAAAAACTGGAAGCATTCCCTTTGAAATCTGGCACTAGACAAGGATGCCCTCTCTCACCACTCCTATTCAATATAGTATTGGAAGTTTTAGCCAGACCAATCAGGCAAGAAAAAGAAATAAAGTGTATTTAATTAAGAAAGGAGGAAGTCAAATTGTCTCTATTTGCAGATGACATGATTATATATTTAGAAGGCCCCATCGTCTCAGCCCAAAATCTCCTAAAACTGATAAGCAACTTCAGCAAAGTCTCAGGATACAAAATCAATGTGCAAAAATCACAAGCATTCCTATATACCAATAACAGACTAACAGAGAGCCAAATCAAGAGTGAACTCCCATTTACAATTGCTACCAAGAATTAAAATACCCAGGAATACAACTAACTAAGGATTTGAAGAACCTCTTCAAGAAGAACTACAAACAACTTCTCCAGGAAATAAGAGAGGACACAAACAGATGGAAAAGCATTCCATGCTCATGGTTAGGAAGAATCAATATGATAAAAATAGCCATACTGCCCACAGTAATTTATAGATTCAACACTATCCCCATCAAGCTACCAATGACTCTCTTCACAGAACTGGAAAAAAACCATCTTAAACTTCATATGGAGCCAAAAGAGAGCCTGCATAGCCAAGAGAATCCTGCAAAAAGAACAAAGATGGAGGCATCACACTACCTGACTTCATACTATACTACAAGGCTACAGTAATCAAAACAGCATGGTACTGGTACCAAAACATAGACCAGTGGAACAGAACAGAGGCCTCAGAGGCAATGCCACACATCTACAACCATCTGATCTTTGACAACGCTCACAAAAACAAGCAATGAGGAAAGGATTTCGTTTGATACATGGTGTTGGGATAACTGGCTAGCCATGTGCAGAAAGCAGAAACTGGACTCCTCCCTGACACCTTACACTAAAATTACCTCCAGATGGATTAAAAACTTAAACACAAGACCTAACACCATAAAACCCTAGAAGAAAACCTAGGCAAAAACCATTCAGGACATAGGCATAGGCAAGGACTTCATGACTAAAACACCAAAAGCACTGGCAACAAAAGCCAAAAGAGACAAATGGGATCTAATTAAACTTAAGAGCTTCTGTATGGCAAAAGAAACAACCATTAGAGTGAACAGGCAACAAACGGAATGGGAGAAATTTTTGCCATCTATCCATCTGACAAAGGGCTCATTTACAGAATCTACAAAGAACTAAAACAGATTTACAAGAAAACAAACAAACAAACCCATTCAAAAGTGAAAGAATGATATGAGCAGACACTTTTCAAAAGAAGATATATATGAGGCCAACAAACATATGAAAAAATGCTCATCATCCCTGGTCATTAGAGAAATGCAAATCAAAACCACATTGAGATACCACCTCAAGCCAGTTAGAATGACGATCATTAAAAAATCTGGAGACAACAGATGCTGGAGAGGATGTGGAGAAATAGGAACACTTTTACACTGTTGGTGGGAGTGTAAACTAGTTCAACCATTGTGGAAGACAGTGTGGCGACTCCTCAAGGACCTAGAAATAGAAATTCAATTTAACCCAGCAATCCCATTACTGGTTATATACCCAAAGGATTATAAATCATTCTATTATAAAGACGCATGCAGGCATATGTTCATTGCGGCACTGTTTACAATAGCGAAGACCTGGAACCAATCCAAATGGCCATCGATGATAGACTGGACAAGGAAAATGTGGTATATATACACCATGGAATTATGCAGCCATAAAAAATGATGAGTTGTTTCCTTTGTAGGGACATGGATGAATCTGGAAACCATCATTCTCAGCAAACTGACACAAGAACAGAAAAGCAAACACCACATGTTCTCACTCATAGGCGGGTGTTAAACAATGAGAACACATGGACACAGGGAGGGGGGCATCACACACTGTGGTCTGTTTCGGGGGCTGGGGAGGGAAAGTTGCGATGGGGAGGTTTGGGAGGGATAACATGGGGAGAAATGCCAGATATAGATGATAGGGGGATGGAGGCAGCAAACCACATTGCCATGTATGTACCTATGGAACAATCCTGCATGATCTGCACATGTATCCCAGAACCTAAAGTACAATTTGAAAAAAGAAGAAAATGCAAAGTATAACCACAATGAGATACTACTATATACTTCTTAGAATGGTTAAAATTTGAAAGACTGAATATATCAAGTATTGACAAGAGTTTGGAGGAACTGAAACTCATACATTGTTCCTGGGAATGTAAAATAGTAAAAGTAGTTTAGAAAATAGCTCAGTAATGATTGCCAGAAATACCACATATTCTCACTCATAGGTGGGTGATGAAAAATGAGAACACATGGACACAGGGAAGGGAGTACCAAACAATGGGGTCTATTGGGGGGAAGAGGGGAGGGACAGCGGGCGGGGGGGGAAGCTGGGGAGGGATAGCCTGGGGAGAAATGCCAAATGTGGGTGAAGGGGAGGAAGGCAGCAAAACACACTGCCATGTGTGTAACTATGCAAATGTCTTGCATGTTCTGCACATGTACCCCAAAACCTAAAATGCAATAAAAAAAAAAAAAAAGAAAATAGCTCAATATACTCTTAAAAAGTTAAACATGCATCTACCATGTGATTTAGTTAGCACACCCCTTGGCAATTGTCCAAAGAAATGAAAGCATATGTTTATACAACAACTTGATTGTGAATGTTTACAGAAGCTGTATTTGTAATAGGCAAAACCCGGAAACAACCTAATTTACCTATATCACCAGGAAAGTAGATAAACTGCAGTATATCTATAAAGTATATACTATTCAGCAATAAAACGAATGAACTACTTATGCACACTATAACATGGATGCATTTCAAAATAATTATGCCGAGTAAAGAAAGCCAGCAAAAAAAAAAGAGCACATCCATTTACATAAAATTATTAGAAATGCAAAAACAAATTTCTAGTGAAGAAAAGCTTACCAGTGGTTGCCTGGGAATGTGGTAAACGTGGAGAAAGGCAAGAGAGATTATAAAGGGTATGAGGAAGTTTTAAGGGTAAGGGACATGCTTATTATCTTGATTGTAATGATCATTGCATAGGTGCGTGCATATGTCTACCCTTAATGAAAATGTGTTCTTTTAAATGTAAAAATACACAGTTTTATATCAATTATACCTCATAATACTATTTTAAAAATAATAATGAGAGGCAATGAAAACTATCTAAATATCTAAAATAAAATATTGATTGACCCACCTTCAAATACAGAAGCTGGCTTATTTATGTTAACATTCTCCAAAATGTTCTTGAGACTTACATTACTATTTTCTAAAAAGTAAAGCACAAGTATTATGAAATGGCAAAGTATCAATGCTAATAATCATTAAATAACCATAACAAAGTGTGGGGATGGAAAATTGTAATTTCTGGAAATTAGCAGGATAAAAATCAATTAATTTAAAATAGTTTTACCCACAATCTATTTTCTCAAAACAAGAAAAAAATTCTAACTAAAGGAATTTGCTTGGCTTAAATAATTAAATTTTGGTGCATAGATTTGATGCTAAATAGAGGATGACTCTTAAAAATATTTCTAGTAGAAAAATCTATGAATTTCAATTAGCTCTCATGTGCCGATGTTCTCATTATATTTCTATGACCCAGTTTACCACTCATGTGTAAGAATAGCTTTTATCAAAAAGACAAAAGAACAAGTGTAGGCTAGGAAGTGGTGAAAAGGGAACTCTTGTACAGTTATGGTGGGAACTCCTGTACAGTTATGGTGGGACTGTAAATTAGTACCACCATTATGAAAAACAGTATAGAAATTCCTTAAAAAATTAAAAACAGAACTCCCATGTGATCCATAAATTTCACTTCCAAGTATATATCCAAAGGAAATGAAATCAGCATGTCAAAGAGATATCTGCACTCCCATGTTCATTGCAGCACTCCTCACAATCGCCAAGACAAAGAATCAACCTCAGTGCCCATTCATCAACAGATGAATAGATTTTTCAAAATGTGATGTCCATCTATATGTTATAAATATATATGCACAACAGAATACTATTCAACGTTTTAAAAAAGAAGGAATTCCTCTCATTTGCAACATGAATAAACCTGGAGGACACTATGTTTTTTGAAACAAACAAGGCACAGAAAGACAAATACTGCATGATCTCATTCATATGTGGAATCTAAAAAAGTTGGAGTAATGGAAGCAGAGACTAGGGAATTTGAGGGGAGATACTGGTTAAAAGAAACAAAGTTTCAGTTAGACAAGAGGAATAAGTTCTGGAGATCTATTTTAGTGCAAGGTGACTATAGTTCATAATGTACTGTATACTTGAAAACAAATAAAAGACTACATTTTATATGCTATCAAAAAATTATAATGATTTAAGGTAATGGATATGTTAATTTGCTTGATTTAATCATCCACAATGTTTACGTATTTCAAAACATCATATTGTATACCACAAATAAATATTTTTTCATTTGTCAATTAAAAGCTAAATACTTTTGGGCTGAGCGTGGTGGCTCACACCTGTAATCCCATCACTTTGGGAGGCTAAAGTTGGTAGATAGCTTGAGTTCAGGAGTTTGATGGCTTGAGCCCAGGAAGCCGAGGCTGCAGTGAACCGTTATCACACCACTGCACTCCAGTCTGGGAGGCAGAGTGAGACCCTGTCTCAAAATAAATAAAAGTAAAAAATAAACACTTTCACTGATCAAAAAATAAAATATACATATATACGACAGCTATCCCAAGCACACAGTAAAACTAGGACTTCATTAAGCTCAAAATAGATTGCTCTTTCAAAAAGTATTCACCATTAACAGATGCTTGTTTCAAGATCTCTTGGAATGTCTTGTTGCTTATTGGAATTCCAGCACTCAAGAGTTTAGAGCTCAGTTCATTTACAGGCATTGTCTCATTTCTGATACTGTCAAGAGTTGTGGTATCTTTAAGTAAATCTGAAAATACAGGAAGAACAGAGAACAGATAACGAAGTTGGGGCAAAGCCCCTTTTAAGATATAAAAACCACAGCCTACTATAGAAGAAATCCTAAGTTAAAAAGCTTTTAAAACATAGTCATGGACTTTGTTTTAAGAAGTCGGTTAAATAATAAAAAATGTTTAGCATATCACTAGTCAAGTAAAAGTTGAGTTTCTGTAAATATTTTGTAAAGTTCACTTTTTCAGTAACTACTGTCCCTGAAAGGTGTTTCTGCTACATGCTCTGGTCTTTCACAGACTGCAAAGCTTTTCAAGAACAGGTATGTGGTAGCTCTTAGAATGAAGGCAAGAAGGTGAAATAGAAGCCAAATAGTTGGGGAAAGGAAAACACTAAAAAATATAAATTTGCTACAGACTGAAAAACAGTCATACACTATCTGAACATCAGAAAGTGTTTCTCTCTTATCAGTCTACCAACTAATTTTAAGAACACTAGATCTTTCTTTTACTTTCTTTAACACATTTCACTATAGGTGAGGAAAATAAGCATGTGGCTATTAATAAAGGTGAGAGAAAATTGTACTAGAGTAATGGAAAGGCTTTATGCTTTTACAATGAAGTGTAATACTGAGACAAATTATTGATTTTAAAGGAGGATATTCTAGGTATGTAGTTCTAAATAATTCATTATACTCAAAGCATAATTGAATATGATAAGGAATAAGAAAGCAGATTACAACATTTCAAATTAAGCAAAGAAAACTTAGGAAAGTGTTGAAAATACAGAGAGAAACAAACTGTATTTTAGAAAAGATAGGATCCCATAAAATGACCTAAGAAACTGGTTTCTAATTTTTATTCTTTTACTATACTTACTGCTGAATGGTGTTGATGGGTTAGGTGAATTAGTGAAAACATCAATTACATCTTTTAAGATCACATTTCTTTCTGCAAAGTTAAGAAATAAAGTAGGATTTAAATAAAGTAGATTTTAAATTCATTAAGGTAGAGATCTGGTATTATTTTAATATTATTTCATTCAGCTTTCAAACTCTAGTGATCATAATGCATAGTAAGAAATACTTTTATATTGTGAGCACACACACAAACAGAAATATAAGTTTTATAAAGCAATACTCACCTTATCGTGGGTGATACACTCTAATATCTTCTTAAAAATTTTCAAGTTATTCCATTTCATTTTAAAAATACTATTCAGGACCTATTAAATTTATTTCACAACTGACCCACAGTTTTAAAAATAATAAACAAGTTATATAGTACAAATATATATACACAGTAATTTTCATTAAAGCATATAAATACTTGTAAAGAGTATAAGAGAATATATAGAACCACTCCCTGAAGAGATGTTTTACCCAACAAAGACAGCAAAGGAAGAAACTCAAAAAAGAAAGAAAAGGAATCTTTTCCTTTGAAAAAAAAAAGTCTGGTGACAAAGGGGAAAAATTCAATTTTTTCTTACTAACATTATTTCCTAATTGACATTGAAACAACAAACAAAAAACTATGCAAAAAAGTAAATAAATAAAACTAAGAATCCCCTTTCCAAGCAACTAAAAATCCTCAGGAAACCTAATAGTCAAATGTCAATTTCTTCAAAATTATCCATAACATCACACATAAATATTTCCTGTTCTTTGAAATAACAGGGTTCAGGACATGCTACCCCATGAAAATATAACCCTATGACAGAATTGAATATTTTAAGCTGAAGGAATCTGAGAAATATCAGGTGCAAGAACTCTATGATCTCGCTTGTCTCCCCTGAAGCAGGTCATAATATCCTCATATGAGAGGTGCTCTTCCTATAAGAAAATGAGCATCCTTATCTCTGAAGATGGAGGGATGCTGAGAGGAATCAAAACTGGTCATACTACCCTTAGCTACTCTTAGCTCATATCCTTTTGTCCTCTGTTACATTTTGCCATTTTCCACCCTTCATCCACTCTAACATAAAATCATCCAGATTTAATCACCTCTTCAGGGTTTCATTTTCTTATGAGGGTTCTCATGTCACATAAATCTTATACTAAATAAACTTGTATGCTTTTATCTTGTAAATCTGTCTTTTGTTACAGAGCCTCAGCCAAAAACCCAGAAAGATAGAAGGAAAAGATTTCTTCTCTACTCTTACTGGAGATGGCTTCAAAAATTATAAACTGTTAGCCCACAGACTGAAAACAATATGAAATTCAGTGATTTTCACTGGCCTAGAGAGTGTCATAGTAATTATTTTTAAATTTGAATTTCATTATATTTCCATGGGATATACATTCTCAAGTTACTCCACAATTCTTATCACTTTGTCTTCTGCCAACTTATTTTATTAATTTGTATTTCATGCCTAACTGTTAGAGACATTTCAATTAGGTGCCCTTGGTCTGGTTCAAATGTTATCCTTCTCTGGAAGCCTACTATAATTTATTTAAAATATCACTATTAGAGCTATAACACTGCACCTCTTGGATGGCAGGCTAATTTGACCCATCTTTCCCCACCCTCTCATTCTAAGCAATTAGCTTGACCTTATGTAGTATTTCCTCACTTCTGTGATTTTTGTAACCTTAATGTTTTTGCAGAGATTGCTTTTGCAAAAGCCTAAACCCCTTGAAGAAAATATACCAAATGCCTGGAGAGATTTTAATAACTGAGAGAAAGGATTTCTTCTGAAAACAGAGAGAGAGAAAGATGATAATGATGATGGGAAAGAAAGAGAATTACTCTTCTTTGGAGGGAGGGAGGGAGAGAGAGAGAGATCTGATTTAATTCAACTAAAATATAATAAAGTGACTGCAATTTCTGGTACTATAGCACCTAGACACCTGGATTAAATAATTCTATTACAAAGACACATGCACACATATGTTTATTGTGGCACTGTTCACAATAGCAAAGCCTTGGAAACCACCCAAATGCCCATCAATGACAGATTGGATAAAGAAAATGTGACACATATATACCATGGGATACTATGCAGCCTTAAAAAAGGATGCATTCATGTCCTTTGCAGTGACGTAGATGAAGCTGGAAAACATCATTCTCAGTGAACTGACACAAAAACAGAAAACCAAACACTGCACGCTCTCACTCATAAGCGGGTGTTGAACAATGAGAACACGTGGACACAAGGAGGGGAATATTACACACCAGGCCTGTTGGGGGGTAGAAGGGCTAAAGGAAGGAAGTCAGAGGGTAGGGGTTAGGGGAGGGATAGCATTAGGAGAAATACCTAATGTAGATGACAGGGTGAATGGATGAAGCAAACCACCATGGCACATGTATACCTATGTAACAAACCTGCACGTTCCGCACATGTATCCCAGAACTTAAAGGATGCTAATAAATAAAGTAAAATAAAATAAAATGACTTAAAGAATCAAAACAAAAACGCAGAAAACTAATTTACAAGAAAAAACAACTCCATCAAAATGCCTGGTGAAGGATATGAACAGACACTTCTTTAAAAAAAAGGGTAAAGGATATGAACAGACACTTCTTTAAAAAAAAGAAGTCAACAAACATATCATCATCACTGGTCACTAGAGAAATGCAAATCAAACCACAATAAGGTACCATCTCACACTAGTTAGAATGGCAATCATTAAAAAGTCAGGAAACAACACATGCTGGAGAGTATGTGGAGAAATAGGAATGCTTTTATACTGTTGGTGGGAGTATAAATTAGTTCAACCATTGTGGAAGATAGTGTGGCAATTCCTCAAGGATCTAGAACCAGAAATACCATTTAACCCAGCAATTCCATTACTAGATATATACCTAAAAGATTATAAATCATTCTACTATAAAGACACATGCACACATATGTTTATTGCAGCACTGTTTACAATAGCAAAGACTTGGAACCAACCCAAATGCCCATCAATGATAGATTGGATAATGAAAATGTGGCATATATACACCATGGAATACTATGCAGCCATAAAAAAGGATGAGTCCTTGTCATTTTCAGGGATATGAATGAAACTGGAAACCATCATTCTCAGCAAACTAACACAGGAACAGAAAACCAAACACCATGTTCTCACTCAGGTGGGAGCTGAACAATGAGAACACATGGACACAGGGAGGGGAACATCACACACCAGGGTCTGTTGGGGAGTGGGAGGCTAGGGTAGTGATAGCATTAGGAGAAATATCTAATGTAGATGATGGATTGATGGGTGCCACAAACCACCATGGCACATGTATACCTATATAACAAACCTGCATGTTCTACATATGTAACCCAGAACTTAAAGCTCAATTTAAAAAAAAGAAATTATTCAATGATTTAGACACTGAAAAAATACTTTTCAAATTATGAAGATAATGTGACATCAAATCCTAACAATACTAATGTAAACAAAGAAAATTACAAGTTAATCTCACAGATAAATAGAGATGTATAAATCCTTTACAAAGTATTAGAAAAATGAACCCACCAATATGTAAAAAGGATAAGATATCATGACTAAAATGAGTTTATTCTAAAGTTCAGGTTGCATTTAATATAAAAAATCAACTAATGCATCACATTAATTAAAAAATAAAACCCACATGACTTATCTTAATAGATGCATAAAATTGTTTAAGTTTCATAATAAAACAAATAAACAAACATAAATGTAATCATTTATAAAACAAAAATTAAAAGGCAACTTCTTTAGCCCAGTGAATGGTATTTATCAAAAACCCGCAGCAAAGAATTGGTTTTATACTTGATGAAATGCTTATTCTTTTGAGAACAAGAATAAAACAAAGATGCCCATTATCACTATTTTTAGCTAAGATTATTTTGGAGGTCCTAGTCCCAGTAGTACAGAAAGATGAAGAAAAACAAAAACATAAAAGAAGTGCACATTATGAAAATTAACTTTAAGAAACAGCTTATGACGATGAAATAGAAAACACAGTACTGTAAAGATATATGTTCTTAGTGGAAACTTTATAAGCCAGAAGGGATTGAGACCTTATCTTTAGCTTCCTTTAGTAGATAAAAAGAAATGACAAAGATCAGAGCAGCACTAAATGACATTGAAACCAAAAATATACAAAAGATCAATAAAACAAAAGTAGGCTCTTTGGAAATATAAACAAAATTGATAGACTATCAGCTAGATTAACCAAGAAAAGAGATTCAACCAAGCTCCATTAGAAATGAAAATGAAGACATTACAACCCACACCACAGAAATACAAAAGATCATTCAAGACTACTATGAATACTTCTATGCACACAAATTAGAAAATCCAAAGGAAATGCATAAATTTCTGGAAACATACAACACTCCTTAATTAAATCAGAAAGAAATAGAAATCCTGAACAGACCAGTAACAAGCAGTGAGACTGAATTGGTAATTCAAAAATTGCCAACAAAGAAAGTCCAGGGATTGACAGGTGAATGCTACTGGACATTTAAAGAATTGGTACCAATCCTACTTAACTATTTTATAAGATTAAGAGAGGGAATCCTCCTTCCAAACTCATTCTACGAAGACAGTATCACCCTAATACCAAAACCAGGAAAGAATATAACAAGAAAAGAAAACTACAGACCAATAACCCTGAGAACATAGATGCCAAAATCCTCAACAAAATAATAACAAACCAAGTCCCACAGCACATCAAAAAGATAACACACACAAACAAGTTGATTAAATCCCAGGGATGCCAGGATGGTTTAACATGCAGAAATTAATAAATGTAATACATCACATTAAAGAGCATTAAAAACAAAAACCATATGATTATCTCAATAGGTGCAGAAAAAGCATTTGATAAAATCCAGCATCCTTCTATGATGGAAATCCTATCATAAACTAGGCATAGATCCAATCCAAAAAACGAGGCATAGAAGGGACATACCTCAAAATAATAAAAGCCATGTATGACAAACCCATAGCCAACATCAAATTAAATGGGGA